AAGTAAAATGGTTTGCGTTAGAAAGAGTGAGCAAGTTCATGCTTAAAACTGGAAAAAGATACTTTTTTTTTCGAAGGCAGTTCACCGTACCTCAAAGCTAGTTGTTTGATTCGTATCATATTACGGCATTACGCTCTTATGGTTATTTGAAGCGGTCGTTATCTCCAACTGATCATCGTACCTTTCGCCATGACTATTGCTGGCTCTAAGTCCCTATAATTTATTCGTTCATAGTACCAATCATCTGTTGATTGTTACGTCACGCAACGCTTCGCATTCAGCTGCAACGATTGCTTATCGTTAAAAGTCTATCCTCATTTCTATGGCATCCCACTAGGTCAGTGGTCCTCCTCCTCTCTCCCCCCCCCCCCCCCCCCCCCCACTGCTACAAGAATTTACTATTTCCGCGAATGCAGTCTTGGAATACGATTGGAAACAACAATATGCCCAAGTATTTCATTCGTAAAAACGGAAGCAATAATTTTTAATCTAGAATAATCCCACAATACATTCACCACAGCGCAATACACAAACCAGATACCTATGACACAATTACTTAGCTTAAAAATGTTCATTTACGAAGTAAAATTCCGAATGCATGTAATAAGGTAATTAAGAAACTTAGCACAACTTTTCAGTGCAACCGAATAATGATAATAATGGATGAATTCAGAAATACTCGCTCATTTCGCACCAAACCAATGGACTTTCCTGCTGCGCTAAAGAACTCAATCAGTTCCTGCTACTGATAAGAGGTGATGTCAGCCAATATATTCAAGAACTTAGGAAATACTTGTGACTAGTTCAGGGAGTGGGGTCCCCAACGGGGAACGCGGGGAGCGCACATTCCCCGCGCAGTTTGCTTCCCGACTTTTTTGGCGGGGACCCCCCGTCCAGTTTTCTCCCCGCGGGATCCCCACTCCGGCCGAAAAACTGCTCCCCAACGAACACTATTCGTGATTACTTCAAGTTAAGTTTTGTTCAGGTCTAGACGAACTAGAGATATTTAGAAAATTTGATAAAGAAGAGTGTTACCATAAGCGAACAGCGTTTAGATAACCAAGTGAAAAAAAAAACACCATCATAATGGTGCACCATCATAACATCACAATTGTACGAAACCTTACTTTGTCGACCCCCTCAATTACTCCCTGACACCCTCAGACTACTCGCAAGGGGTATTTCACTCCTCTATGAGAACCACTGCACTAGATCATCAAACCATCATCCCTTCTGATCACCCACAGTACTTCCAATAAATCCGAGCCTTGCACACCACTTCACTGAATTAACTTGAAAGCACATGAAGCACTCGTTCACAATCTTTTTTATCTCCATAAGTTTCCACTTTGGCTTGACATATTGCATAACGATGTGTCATGACATAAGACTATCATTCAAAACTATAAAAACGCTCTCAACAATCGTAAAGGATTGATTACACGTATGAGTCAAATGTATTTTTTCAGTACAAAGAAGATAACTGTCTCCATAGCAGAGGGTGGAGTCTCAATTTCTCATAGTATGAAAGTGAGATCCGATTATAGCAAATCCGTTCTGTGGTAGAATTTTAATTGCAATAATTGATGCTGAGTGCCGTGAAGAAATTTACTGAGATACGAATGAATTAATGCAAAAAAAGTCAAATAAGTAATCGTTATCATTATAATGGTTATCGTAATCGTTATCGTTATCATTTTGCATTTGAATGTTATCATTTGATTTAGTATGTTGTGCTTAAAGCATTATAAACAGTTCTGAATTTTTATACGAATTTCAGGTGATCATTGTTGCATCATTGCCTTTTCAATTAATTCCATATTATTGTCAGTCACCACTTAGTGAGAGTGCATCAGTTTGCAAGTTCTGTTGGTTTTAAACTCAGTGAAGCAGCCGAAAAGTCAAATAATATTTCATCAAATTAAGGCAAGTTATTGGTCTCATGGAATCTTCTGACTTAATAAGTTGTTCAACTATCATTGTCAGCTGGAAATTTTAGCAGTGTGTAAATACTAGAAAAGCGTTCGAACTGGTTGGAATCATAAAAATTAATTTTATTTATATCAAATGCAAACAATATATGGTTAATGAAAGCAGTTGCTTTGCATATAGTGAATATGAAAATTCATCGCATTCTTGTGTTGATTGAAGTAATATAATTAATGGAACTAGATGGATTGCTCACAGCATAGAAACTTATTTGTTTGACTGTTCTCATCCCGGAAAAATGATCGATTTCACTTGGGTTGTACATGTTGAGTGTAATTTGAAGAGATACATACGTCAGTTTGTTTTCCATTTGTTGCACAGCAGTCATGGCGAAAATTTCAATTTCTCACGTCTATGATATCATTATAGATAATCACATCAATCATCTGCTGCCTCATTGATATTAGCAACCCTGAAATTATGGAGCTTGCTTACTGCATAAACATTCTTTATGCAAATGCAGCATTTCAGGTAATCGTGATGGTAATTTTCCCAAAATATGACTTCAGCAATTATACTATTGTGTTATTAGTTTTGATTTGATTGACATCTTGAGTATTTGTTTATTGAGGTGCACCGAACTTTAGAATGAAAAGTGTTAAAACTTCTGTGTTGAATGATTCTGCATTAATGAAAAATTTTATTTGCTTCCACTTCTTAAAATGCGGTTTCTATTCTTTATTCTCATGTTTTCCCATCACATCAGCTTCTGTTCACTTCAAAGTTTTAGTTTCATCACTTCAAACTTTTAATTTTATCACCTCAAACTTTTAGTCAACTCTTTTCAGCTAACAGTATCGATGAATTACTTGATTGTTAGAATAATTATGATGATTTACATATTGCATTCTCATATCATTTCGCACTGTGGAATCACCTTTTCCGTGATTAAAATATATCTCTATTAATGTCTTTTTTCATTTATATTTGCTACTTTCAATTTTTATTGGCCATTATCGAGGTGGTATTCTGAGAAAATTATCTTCACGTTCCGCTCGTTCATTCATTGTGAATGTCATCTAATATTATATGCATTCGTTTGCATTCGATATTTCTTTGCAATAATTATGCGTATTTTGATGTTTGTTTTTGTTTTGTTTGTCAGCATTTCGCTTGTTGAACTTTGTCTAGAATGGAGCGAAAAACTCACTCATCAAACTTTCGAGCGAGTTTGTTCATTTCACGCCTCCTCAAATGTATACGCTTGTATCGTGCGCATGAATTTGCGGGAGAAAATGATGAAAGAATTGGTTATTAGCTGGTGGATTATTTTCACTGCATGATACTATTTATGGAAGCTGCTACCAATATGACAGAATTAAAATGGTTCGTATTTAAGCAAGACGACATGTTTACGACGAATAGCTATCACTGAATGAGTTCATCGGAAACAACTTCTGATGTTAAACAGATAATTTTCTCACCAAGTTTGATGCCACATATCATTTCATGAAGTGGCTTTTCATAAAAGCACAGAAACCTCTTTCTGATGAACTCACATATTTATCAGTCTCAGTTGCAACTTGCGTGGTCACATTTTCGTTGCACTTTGTTTATTTATTTATTCATTTATTCGGTCAACAATGACGAGTTCATGTCTCTTTGAGCCACGCACTTTATTGAGCTTAATTAATGTCCTATTCTTTCGCACTCATTTCATTCCTTTCATGAGTTTCACCTCCTGTTTAAAATTCTAACGGAAATCATACGGATCCGTTTATCAGTGTGTTCCAAATTACACTTAAATTTGTTCCGAAGCAAAAGTGATACTTTAGGAGGTTTCGAGAGGTTATATGAGCAACTGACCGTGTTGAAATGAGATGAGCAAATTCAGTACATACAGCTTGTCACGAAATAAGTTTAATTTATCGTTCACAACATTAATTTGGATGGCTATTAAGGCGTTAACCTACCTAGCTATGTGCATCACATGACAGCGCCTCATCACGCATAATTGCATACCCACTAACAATAAGCACGTTGGTTGGTCAATTTCCTATTCAACACTCGAATAGCATTATCTTATTTTCATAAACCGATTTGCTGTCAAAACTATCTCTGGTTCGTTGCTCTTCTTGATTTCATCATTGCAGTCATTAAATTTTTTGCCGTGTTGCTGCTTGATATACTGCGTTTGTTGTTCTGAGTTTCCGTCTGATTTTCAGTTCAACATTCGTCCTTGTGCTCAAGTGACATCTATGCGTAATTTGATCAGAATTCAAATAAGCAATTCAATTCATTTTCCGCATTACTGTACGAATGAAATTACGTTTACTCAAAACTAATTACGCAACGGACGATTTAGACTCATCTGATGGCCAGAATGACTCCAATTTTTAGTCGCTCCTCAAATTTCGTATCCAATTATCAAAATGCTGCTCTATTTCCTATGCATGTACATTTGTTTCATGTGCCTACTAAAATTTCATGATAGCATTTATTACTCAAAAAACATGAATTAGGTGTTGATCGATCACATATACTGCTTCCTGTCGTCAAATAATAAAATCAACAATGAGCAGGAAACAACGTTATTCAATGTCTTGTTATGATAGAATTACCATGTAATTATCGAATGCTCATTCATATTTCTAATTACATGTGTATGTTTTTTTTTTGAGGATGAATTCAGTATTCAAGCTGAAATTTTTTAAAGCGTTTTCTGAATGTTTGATCATGATTGGGCTCGGATTGACCGAAGCTTGTGTAGGTGTCAACTTAGGATTTCGTTGAAATTTGCGTAGGCTCAGTTAAAGCTGACATTCAGTAGTTACGCTATTATGTACATCCGATTCCGTTTATGTTACACATTTGAAGAAAGTAACAACTTGTTGTATGAAATACACTAAATAAATGAAATGTTGACCTTTAGGGCGATGTATGACATTCGAAAGTGCGTTGATAAGCGTTAAATTGTATGTATCATCGGTGTGTTTTTCGGCTTTGAAGCGTGATGATATGCAGTACGAACACCTATAACAACTCTCACTTTATGCACATAAGAATCACACATGCAGCGAAGGTATTCTTTTTCTGATCGAATTTTCATTGCCTGAATCTTTTTCAATTGGATTTCAGTCATTATTTGAAAGGTGAATTGGCTAATGAAATACGTTCAAGGACATCTGATCGTACTGGGCCGAAACCTCTAGAAAGAAGTTGCAGTACAATACGTCCTAGTGCTGCACGCCGTGGGCGCGCTCGTTCAACTGTACCATTTGCAAAGCAGCAAGAATACACATTGATCGTGCTTGGAGCATCTAAGGTTTTTTGTTGATTTCAAATGTGTACAAGTCAGTGAAGTTTTACTGCTGATAACTAGTCATTGGAGCTGTTAGTACTGAATGAATCATAAGTAGAAATTGTCTTATCGAATAGTAAATATTATGAGTGTTTTGTAAAATCAACGTAAGATTCGGGCAATCTTTTTAAAAACGCTTTCACTCGATGCGTTCATCAATTACATAGGTTGGTAAAAGTGCATTAGTTGGACAATTTCTTTGGGATACGTTCATCAGCGAATATCGTCCAACGGTCGAAGAATTCAACTGGATTGAATACAACAATGATGCTGGCGACGAACTTTTATTACAGGTTTTTCTTATCATTCATCATCATTATCTCAACTTAAAATGCTCATATTCTAACTTGCACCCATCCTTTCATACTGCTGATTGTTTTACAGTTATCGCGATAATTGAGCACATTCACTTGCCAGCCATACTTTATCCGTTCACTGGAAGCACTAATGATCTTCGTAAATAAAACCCTTTGAACACTTCATTATGCTACGAATAACCGACGAGCGTCTTCAAAAGGACATTTCTATGTTGAATCACGTGTGAATTCCACAAAGAAAGCTCACAACATATGTGCATGAATATCATTTATCGCTGTATGCAATGATATTTTATCAGTAAATTAAGATGTCAAAATTAAGACATTAGTACGCAGTGTTTGTGATGATGTTCACATGTGCAGTTGTTCGTAACTGGAAAGTTTGTGAGTTGGTGACTTGGTCCACTAGTGTGAACTTGTTTATTTGGCAACTGAAGTTTATAATGGTTAAAGGTTATTGATACCGGTGGATCTCATGATTTTCTCGCTATGCGACATCTTTATGCGAGGACCGGTGATGCTTTCATTGTAAGTTTGACTCTCTTTCTGTGTATAAAAATTAAATGTCACGAATCTGTTCTTCTTCCTTAGTTGCAAGACTCATGAGTGCAATAATTACTTTTAAGGATCTTGAGTAACTCTAACACTTCATTAAACTTTCGGGATTTATGCCCAAGTAATAATGTGAAAAGTAATTTTCCTAAATTTGCCAGTGGTCCACTATTTTTTAACTGCCGTTGAAGGCGTTCGCTGTTTTTCATTTCCTTATATCGTGCAGCAGATCGTGTATTCATTGTGAAGCATGCAGAAGCTTTTTCCCAAATAAACTCAGTTAACTATATATGATGATGACCTTGTGAAAACACAGCTTCAGATTCGTTCTTCCTGACTTTGTTGCTGAATTGAATACAGATGAATATGGGGCCAAATAAACCCAAGAATAAATTTTTGCGATAATAATTATCCATCTTTGCAGCAATGAGTTCTAAAAAATATGGATTAACATAGTCTTAAAATGAGCAATTTTCGAAAAGTTAAAGGTTTCGTGCTGTGAGATTACTGTTTGAAATTGAATTCAAACAAATAATAGGTTGTTTTTGCGGCTAATGATCCGGATTCATTCGAAGAGGCAAAAAGGATAGTCGAAGAAATTCGCGAAAGAAATATGAAACGAGCACCGATCTTGCTGCTGGGTAATAAAAGCGATTTATACGAAAGCGAGGGCGACTGGCCTTGTGAGAATGTTCGCAAATTCGCCTCAGCACAGCTCATTCCTTTTGTGCCCGTCTCAGCTAAAAACGGTCATCGGGTTCGTTTAAAAGTTCAATCATAATTACGCTAAACTTGAAACACCCTCGATTGTTGGATGTGTTCAGTGAGCATTTCTCAAGAGAACATTTCTGACTCAGTAAATGCTCTCAATCTGAACACGAAAAAAATTTTAAACTTTGAACGATTCATTTTTAGTTACTTAAAGCAAACACTTTCGCTAAATTTTTCGCATCTATGATCCTTCGGGGATATCTGATTTAGCGATTTGACTTGTGCCCTTTTTATCAAATTGATGGTTACTTTCCAGGTCGAGCAAGTGTTTGGCGAACTACTCGATCAAATGCAAGGCTTTCATCCAACCATAATGACAAAACGACGACAATCAATGCCCTCAGCACGTGCTTATAGTGGTATTGATATCTCGGAAATAGAGCGTATCGCAAAGAAACACAGTAAAAGTACGTGTGTCATATCATGATTCCATCTCGTCTCGTGATTTATACCCGTTTTACTAACCTTTTATTCGTTCGCTAATTTGTTATATATGAAAAACAAAACTGACACTAATGAGCATTTTGAGCGCAAAAAATTTGTCAATTCTCATTGTAATTAATTTTGTGAAAGATTTACAAATAACTGTTATTGAAGTTGAAATGTTGTTGTCGATGTAATCCTGTTCAGAATTGGAACAAAATTTAATTGCTTTCTCCTCGTTGTTTCATATCGCGTTCGACTCAAGGTTTTTGTTCTCCTTCATTTTGTGACTTGAACCATTTCACTAACAGCACTGTTAAACTTTCCAATCAAACATTCAAATGTCATGTAATTGAGAGATGAACTATTTGCGATGAGAAAAACTTGGCCGAATTCCGGTTGAAGTGAGTAAACAGAACGAGATAGAAGTATGTTAGTGACGAATGGATGGAATGGACAGCACTGAAAGCATGCAATCGCTGTATGAGTATCTTCATGAAAAGTGGTGTTCTGTAAACTTCATTTAGCTGTTCTTTGTTCGCTTATTAGAAAAATGTTCTCCTGTTTTTCTCGTTTTATCTATGTTGCTTTGGTTATGATTGATCGTACTAATTTTGATTTTGTACATTCCAACAATTATTTTTATACTTTCTGACATGTTCATGTCCTAATCGTTTATATATAAACTTTACAATTGGTATGTTCATCACCGATATTATTATTTTATTATATTATTATTATTGTTATCGTAAACATTACTATTTTCATTGCTAAAAAGTTTGTCGATGAGAATATGTAATTCACTGAAGTGTGTTGACGTACAAACGACTGCAAAAGAAGAATAACAACTTCGTGTACGTTGCAGATGAATAGATCTGATGCCGATTTAGTCAGATGCTCCTTACTGGAATATGGACCGAGTGGTGTCATCTGAATGATGCACAGATTACTATTCACTTTTCATGTTGCGTCACATGATTGTTGGATGTGCTTAAATTGATTTTACTTTTCATTAAAGTTCTAGTTCATTTCATGATAATGATCGTCTGAATGCACTTTTGATGAAATTGTGATAAGCAATTGAAGTGAATGTGAAAATAGATGAATTCGTTATTAGTTCACGATGCAACTGATCACAAATGGCTGTTGTAATGGCTCTTGATAAGCGTAGGCTGTTTTTGTCGCACGTTTTTGAGTTGAATTCTTTTTACAACCAGCGTTAAAGCCTAATTTTACCCGTTCACCTAGGATGCATTTGTTCAAGATGGATCACAAAATATTCTCGTGATTATGCTCAAATAGCTACCACTGAACGTTTATTGCGTTCGTCTAAAAACACAGCCACATTATTTTCGAACTCCGAACTCTAGGGTGTGAAAGAATAAATGAGAACCAGTTTTCGTATGAGTGAGATGTGCTCTATGGGAAAGGTGTTTTGATATGCGAGCAGGCAATGACAGCACAGAGAGGACTAATGGAACTTGTACAATGCAGTCCGTTCGTTATTGGCTTTGTGATGATGTTTACTTGAACGATGCTCGATTAAAATAGTAATCATTCGATATGAAAATTCTTGGTGTCTTCTTAACAGTACCAAATAACAAATTCTTCAGACTTTCAAGGAACATTAAACATTTTCCATACATCATTTTGCAGTCTTGGTTCACTCATTTAATTGCAATTCTTCTTTTCAATCTAAAAAGTGGCTAGAAGATTGATTCAAGGAATCGACAACGTATTGACTGTAATTTGATATGACTCACACAAGTAAGAACTCAGCAATTCAAACCGTTTCACGTCTACCATTTTTGTTCGTCTCTCTTCTTAGTTTCTTCTGCAGATTCTTTCTTCGTTGTGTTCAGATGTTTTTAAGTTCGGAACATATTCAAATTTTCATTTCGTCATAAATGGTCGGTCAGTCGTTAATGAAAAATCACAGAAATTTCGAGTGAATTGAAATTCCGCATCATACAATAATCAGAAAGCGACGTACTGTGGTGCTTGCCAAGAAATCAGAATAAATGACTCAGTTAGGGTTTATGTATAAGGCCGATGTTCGCGACATCAATAATTCAGCCATGAATGCTCAGTTCATGATATTGTCCTCTGGTAATTGTTCTCGAACACCAGCTTCCATCCTCAACACGTATTTGTTTCTAATTATTTAATTTTTTCTTTATTCGAAGCAGTTTTTAAATGTCTATTAACACGATATGGGCAAACTTTTTTGACTTTGTGCCACTCACCTTTCACATCTCTCGTATCAATTTTTTAGTTTTCAGAAGACAGAGAATGAAGTGCAGCTTCATGCAAAAACTCCTCTGATTGAGAAGAACTATGTCTTTCTACATGAATTCTTGATTTGAACTTGTCTCTTCGTTGAAAGGCTGTTTTCAGCCGGGAAAAAATTTTCCAAGGTAGTGAAATCACATCAGAATTTCGATCACCTCAAAGTGTAATCAGACAAGTTTTTATAGGTACCTGGCGATGGTACAATGGTATGCCGTTTTTAGCACACCAACCATTTTTACCAAAAAAGATGACATGGAACGTGAAGATGCAGAGCTAATTTGCAGACTTTCTCTGAGAATTCACTTCAACCGGGACTGACAAGCCAAAATTTTCACTGATTTCAAACGTAGAAGTAATCGAAATGCTGCATTTGAGCAAGTAGATTTGCAGAGATAATCCTGTTTGCGTTTAATATAATCTTGTTCCAAATTTAACAGAGATTAATGATTCATTCCTTCCAAATTTTGTACTGTTCATTATCGCCTTTACTTCTGTTTTGAAACGTCGTTTCCTCCATTGAGCAAAGTATTTTCTCTTGCAACTGCACTTGTAACTCTAGATTCTGGTCTTTGATGCAGAAACTTTACGTTTAGCAATATGCCTGCAGTTCTGTTTCAGTTCCAGCATTGGGCTGACTTCTTCACGATATCTGAATAATTTTTCAATTGCAATATTACTGTTGCGTGAAAATTAGTTTCATCACTCATTCCTTCCTCATTACATAGCAGTTTGATTCCCTATTATGTATGAAACCAATCACCTAGATGTTATTCATAATTTAGAAAAAAATCAGTCTAAATAACAGCAATTTTATTTGAAAATTGCGTTTTGCTATTTGTATATAATCTTGTTCCAAACAGAAATCGTTCCACTAAAGAAAAGCTCTTCACTAAATTGCTTTATCAGGTAAGGAAACTGGTTCGTAATTCCATCCTTACAATAAGTTGCTTTTACTTTTCATTGCTACATTAATAAAATTATTTCTGATCTAAAAAAGATAATTGCTAAAGTTCATCATGAATAATACCATTCAGGACATATGAACACAAGCTTTTCCACTCGCTCTTGTGGTGTTTCACTCTCAAAATCACGTCAATTTAATTGTATGAATATTCTCTTTTTGTCGCACATGAACGGTACTCTTTGAAAGAATAGATCTGCCGTAACTTTTAAGTGACTCCTTAGACATGATAATAGGTTCGAACGAGACATGTGGTGGTGGTGATAGGTAGAGATTGTAATTCATTTACTACGCTGACAGTCAATCCAATCTTGTTTTCATTGCAGCACTCTTTCAACATTTATTTATTCACTTGTTAACCTAATTCATCTTTACTTCAGTAATACATTCAGGCAATGTAACTCATACAGAACGCATTGTATTGCACATCTGATATCATCTTTCATTTAGCAGCATCGTGGTAAAGCATTCTTCTCACTGATTCCTTGCGATTGACATGATGAGTATCAGTCACCATCATGTTGTAGGAGTGGATTGTTCATGATTAATCAAAATAGTATTTTTTTGAGAGGAATTCACCAGTGCAACGGTATTGGTCCAGTATTGTTTAAGAACTGCGAAGAACTAAGTCGGTTGAATGTCAAACACGAGAGGTATAGGAACGTTTGTACTGCAATACGTAAATGAATTTCGGGTGTTGTGTGCGTGAAGAAGAACATGATGAACATAATTATTATAATAAAATATCTTGTTGCGTTAATTTTGAAAGGCACGCCCACAGGTAAGAAGGAGTGTGACAATGTCGCAGAAGCGTTGAATCGAATGGTAGTCGTCTTGTTCGGCAGCACTATCCATTCTCCCAAGTGTTTACGTTCTTACGCATTAATCACAATAAGCATAAGTCATTATCACAGGTGTTTGTCAACTTCTCGTCATTCATGCTAATCTTTTAGCCTTTCATTTTGGCTCATCCTGCCGCTCGACTTACCGCTGCAATGATTCTACGAACTCTTCAGCTACATCTCATCCTTCACCTCGTTCTTACGTATGGTATGTACATTGATCCTTTTCAATGCTCTCCTTATCATTTTCTCAGCA